AATGGTTACATGACCAAACCTAACTGGCTTTCTAAATTCTCATTGCATAATTCTTTGTTTTGTCATGACTTTCCACTCACTGCAGAGTAGGAGAATTACATTTGTTTGTACTGCGGTATTGCATCTAGCATGACTCCCAATTCATATTGAGTATCATTTATATATTCAAGTTTTACTCTGGCGCACAAAATGTCTCCCTCATTGTACATCTAATAAGACAGTTTTTACTTCCTCTGTGGCCTACACAGCATATCCAACTCGTCAAGTATACCAATTGTCATTTTAGATCAAGAATTTTTTATTTTATGTATGCTTATATAGAATTTATGTGGTGATACTCAACCTTTGTGATCCTCTGCAAGATCTCAAGGACCTTTCACATGTATATGGGCATTTCGTACATCTGAGCATCAAGTGGAATTGGATGGAATAGTTGAATTGAATAGTATGCATCCATATTTTGATTGTTACTGATGTGTGTGCTGAATAGTCTTGGATCCACTGATTAGTTACACAGAGATATCTCAGGTGAGTATATGCGCTCTTACCCTTGCAGAAATATTTGGCTGTCACACATATCTTCTCTTCTTTGAACATATCAAAAATATGAAGAGCTATGGCAGTGTTGAATTTTGTTGTCACCATTGCACAACATATTGGCAGATCATGATAGCACATTTACCCTCCTCTAACAATGGGAGTATCAAATTACTTGCATATAGGAATGCCATCCAGCTTCTCTAAGGTTCCTGCTCCACTTTAAAATCTACCTAACCCTCCGTCTCCATCTCCTTCCTCATGAACTGTGTTACACTCATCCATCATCTGACATCCAGAGTGTCAGTGCAGAATGTGTTGTAGCCCTCCAATATACAAGTCGTGCATTGTCAAATATGATAAGATTGGTAGTAGATTATCATACTTTGACAAGTGTGTGCATAGTGGCTCTTCAATATTAGAGAACATCAGTTGTCACCCATACAAAATGTGAGCTATGAAGACACTGACATGACTTGCTGATATGATATAACTGAACATGCAATTAACGAGCAGCCTCACACAAGCATGAGTACACTTACCGTGGATTCTCCAGTAGAGACTTGTGGTCTTTTACAATATCAGAATATACTTTTTGAATGGTATATAGGGTTTTATTGTGGGCTCTTAGCAGATTGCTAAAAGATCTGCATCTAGTTCAGAGTGGATAGGAGATGTGGCAGATTGTGTTGAGTATTGAAGATGTGCAGCAGTCCTGCAGTTGATGCAAATTTCAGATGTTATCCTTGAATAACAGAAAAAGTGAAAATGAACATAAGGGGAGACTCAAAGGTCATAAAAAGAGTGGTGTGTCATGGATTCACCGATGTCACTTGACTCGTTGCATATATACTACATAAGAAATATGCACATTCCGACATAGTATAAATACTATAAGTCATATTGCGACTTGTCTAACTACACTTTCATGTGCTGCCTCACCCTATCCTACATCCAACCTTCCTTGATGATATATTTAGCATCTCTTCATTAGCTCACTAGCCTAACACTTGTAATCATTTCTGGAACATTTATCATGCAGAAAATTAGCTCCATTTCCAATCATTTCATCTATACAGAGGTTCTAAATATCCAAATAGAACCTGACTCATGTCTTTCAAATGATGCACAATCTCTCTCTGCCAACACTGGGTTTTCAGCTATTATATCACTCTTATTCAATCATCATATCATCTGTCAGGGCCTCAGCATTAATATCTACTAAGAATATTGCTCTATAAATCTTGTTCTGTATTTCTTCAACATCCTGACATCACTTCCATTAGTTGTTATTGATGATGATAATGGATTCTTGTCTTAAGAGAATCTGACTGATTTTAGACTGATGATGCCATGAAATGAAGATTTCTTTGGGCTGAATGAAGAGAGTTTTCAAATTCCAAGAAATAGTTTGGCATCTTTGTACAGATTAGTCTATTTGACTGCTCTGGAGCTAGAGAACTTGGAAATTTGTAAAATTAATAATAATGCTTTGCTGAATTTAGTCATCAGTCTGCCTCATCTTCAATGTCTTTTGTTAGGAACAAGATCATTTTGGGAGGAACCTTTAAGAGCCACTCTATGAAGGATATCTCTTATCTTGCGTCATTGTTCTTATTTAAAAATGCTTGTTTTCTCTTCAGTTGCAATCTAAGACATCATAGCATGGAACCTGCATACAGCAATACCCTCATCACTACATTACAGATTGGATTCTCACCTCTCCATATTTCTTTCACAGTAGTAGCATTTTTTTCCTATTCTTTGCCTAATCTTAATATAATCATGGTGGAGCTCAGAGAATTCCATAGCAAACATTCCTGGAGTAGAACTAATCTTACTCTTGCTGACTGTAACATTAGGATTCAGGGATGAGGCAGGATTTTGGAGTTGACCAATGAGTTTGTAAATGTTTGATCCAAACTATTTTATTTGCTATCCATAATTTCAGTATATCAATCAGCTAGTATATAAACTCTATATAGCAAAAATATTTTTGATTGCTCTACCTTCAGCTATCTTGATCTAGTAAGATTTGATCATTCTATGAATCTGGCTGTTTTTTCAACTTATTTGGTTAATTTCTCCATCACACCCCAGGTTAGATGCTCTATTATATTCTTTAGACTAGGCTGAATCATGAGAACTAGTATCTTCAAGTAGAATGAGTTAGTGTCATTGTCATATCCCGTGTTCCGGACCCGGACCTATCACACTCATCATTTCCGGATTTCCGGATCCAGCCGACTTCTATGTATCGTCCGGATCCGACCCGCGTCTAACTTCCGTGCCTTATCCCTTTGGTATTTCCCTTATCAGTTAGTACGCTTTATTTTCCGTCCCTTATTCATTTCCGTCTTCATTTTACTAAGTTCCGATAGACTAGTGATAGTCGTCCCATATGTTTTCTTCATAGCTTTACATAGCTTCGCACTGCACTTACTGTTCTCCGTTATGTCCTCAGTAGTATATAAACCTCTGTACAATCTCTGTAGTTTCCTCAGTTCGAATATCATCTTAGACTCTGCTCATTCTCTCCTCCGTCCGACTTGAGCTTCTCTCTCGTCGACCGACGCTCGTCTTAGGATTGACTCCTATAGACTTGTCACCTCCGCCTCTACCTTTGGTAGTCCTCCGTTGTTTCCTTTCTAGTTCGGACTTCATCCAGATTAGTCTTATCTCTTGTTCCCAAACGTCCGCCGGAATTCCCGCGCATCGGACATCGGACTCCGGACATCGCCCGACGCCCTCCAGACATCGTCCGGTAACCTTCGGACATTGTTCGACAGCCTTCGGAAGTTAGGGGCACGTACTCGGGTAAGGGGCGCAGCGCACGAGTTGAAGCCAAGCCCTTCGGATCCGACCCTTGAGCACGTTCTTAACAGTCATATTCCGTGTTTCGGACCCGGACCAATCACGCAATCATCTCTGGACTGATCTGCACAGACCCATATTACATTTAACCTACTGTGTACAAAGATTACCAGGTTTTTCAGAGGATGGGGCCTAGGGGATGACAACCAAGGCCAGGGACTTGGATGCAGACTGCTTTTTCATATCATTCAAGCGGATGAAGAATATCATGCTAGATTCATGGAAGGGTTTAAGTACCTATAGGTCAGCTGTAGAGACTGTAACATTTGAGGTCAGAGATACTGTGCTCATCAAACCTTAAAGCTTGTTGTGATTGCTGTCGCAAATACCATGGACCTTCCAGAGTGGATGATGACTAGACAAGTGCAAAGAAGACTTGTTACGTACTATTAAATAAAGCCCTTCACCTAATACACACTTATGTGCTGCAAAGGAATGATTCAAACCAATTTCCAGCCATACATGATGCAATAGGTCAAGAAAATTATACATGCAAGTCTCAAGGAAGCCAAAGAGGGCCTCAAAGAGCAACCAGACATGATTGATACTGACAACTTAAAGTTTGCGACAATGAGAGTCTCATCCTTCAACTTTAATTGAGCAGGCCCACAGATATGCTAACTACCACAAACACACAATCTTCTTGGACAAGAAAACAGTGCATTTTACTTCCTCATATGATTTGCAACTCATTATCTGCTTAGTTGTTGGCCATACTATCTATTTATACCATTCTTTACTCCCTTCAACACATCACCCTTGACTAGCACTCTCTCAGGTTACTTCTCCTTGGGACAAGTTACCAGTAATTCATCTTGCTATTCTATATGATGGAGATGGCCAATGAGCACCCTCAACCTGTTCATATTCAAGAGTATTCAACTTCAGGCAACTCTATAGTGACTTAGTATTGGCATCCCTGCAGCTAACTATGTATCTGCCCTTGCCTTTAAACCTCTTCATGAATCTCTCTGCCTGGACTCCACCAACTCCTTCACATTAAGTTCAAGAACAGAACTAACATTATATCATGTTTGAGTCGTGTTGCAAGGTGCGCTGACTGTTGAGAGCTGATGTGGAAGTGGACAAGAATTCGAACATAGTTTTGTATTGCCAGTGAATGTTCTAAGACAGTATATCATATTAGGCCTTACAATTCTCAAATACGACTTCATTTAGTGTGCATGTCATATGGGGGTTGTGCTAAGTTAGTGGTGTATGTCTTGTGCTCTTGTGACTCCAAGATAATGATAATCTGATTGAATTTGACCTAACCTCTTTTTCCAGTTTTTTAAACTGACCCTCTATTATGCATCATAGTAATGCCTTGGGACTGTATTCTGGTTTGTGTTTCTTTTGTTGCCTCCAAACCAGTGTTGACCAGGGGACCAATATATCAGGGTACTACATTAAGAATCATATTCAGTATTTGGAAGACAGGTAATGGTCAAGGACCTGTCAAATGTTGATCAGGTCAAATAAACTCTGGGAAATGGATACAATATCATTGCAGAGCCCTCGATCCCTTAGTATTGCCAAGTGATAACTTTTGACGACATTAATTCTATCGTGCAGACATGGTGTAGGCCTATGAGAATGATGAAGAAACTGGTGTCACTTTCAGAGAGACTGGATTTTCTCATTCAGACGTCTTTGTGACAACCAAGTACTCTGGTACAAACAGTCACAACATCCTGATTTCCATCAGGAACAGTTTGCACAGAGTATGTTTTCCTTTAGTTTAGAGCCAGTGCTTTTGTGATATTTGCTGCCACATAGTTTGGGGTATCGGACATTGACCTCTATCTAGTTCACTCCCTGCACCTGGCCCTACCCAACATTCCCGCATATTACTGGATGAACCAAAGCTAAATTTAGATTGAGTGAAAATATGGCATGGATTCTCCTTCATCCATATGTCTATCAGTGACAGAAACCTATCTTTAAGTATGCTACAAAGAATGGAATCATCACTGAGGCCTACCAGTAGGTGTTCGCTGTAGAGACTTGCACCTCTCAATGCCAGATATATGGCCTTATTACCCATTCAATTCCCTACATGTATCAGCTCTTATCTGAAGGACCAGTCATTTGCGCTCTCGCGCATACGCCCTACGTACACGCCTCACTTGCGCATCTTACACACACTCGCGCCGTTCGCACGCATCCCCTTAGGCCTTCACGCTTCTACTGGCTGTCCATCTGTCCTTTGTCCTTGCTGATTTACTGGTGCGTTATTCTTATCTCTTTCATTAAATTAATGAACCTTCGGTCCAACCTCCGCGCTTACATACAGAGTCTATTTAAACTTAGAATATATTTAGAGTTGATATGGTTACTCGCTTCGGGACCACGCTCGGAAGCGCGCCGCATAGCGTAATCTCCCTTCTTAAATAGAGGGAGGGTTCTCTCAGTTCTGGTACTTACTTTCCCCTTATCTCAGTATACTGAAAAGTGTATAGCCCTCCTCAATACTAGAAATCTGATTATACTCCTCCATTGATTATCACCTGTGCTCCTGCTACTATCTTAAGGACACCTTCCCTCATCGCTCTAAGCGCGCCTCTGCTTACGCGCGCGCACCCCTCGCATCTCTCGCTCACGCATGCATCACACACGCCTTTGTGTGTGTTATATTCTCGCGCTTGCTAGCGCCCATCTAGTTGACAGAGTTTCCCTCCATCTTATTAGCGAGGAACTTCTCTCAGTAGCTGTCCTTTGGGTCGAGTTGTATTCTCGTATCCAGGTCTTGCTGTAGAGCCCCCATCTGTTCTTAGTGTTTTCACCCACAGTCAAGATTCCTCACCTTCAACTGGAGCTTACTGCGAGGGGAACAGTCAGCAAGATCTAGTTCTATGCATCTTCGCACTTAGCGCCATTTAGCGCATATAGGTCAATCTCTTTGCATTTTCACAAGCTAATCATTTTTAGTCACGCATTCTCGCGCCTTGCGTGGGTGCAATATTCCCACGTCTGTGCGCCTCACGTGCGTACCTTTCCCGCGCTTCAATGCCCTATAGAATGCCCATCCATGGCACAACAAATGCGCCCAAGTTCGATGGCACTACAGACAACCTCGCTGAATTCATTGACACATATGAGCAGCTCGCTGATGAAGCAGGACTCCAAGGACTTGACTGCATCAAAGGTATTATTTGCTACCTTGAGTGCGATGACCGAGAACTATGGGGAGGTATGCCCGAAGCGGCAGTAAGTGATTATGATGCATTCATGGCAGAAGTTAAGGTAATGTATCCTGGATGGGATGGTAAAAGATGCTATGCGCTTGCGGATCTACAAGCCATTGCGCACGAATACGCTAACAAACTGATGCCCTCTTGCACAGAACTAAGCAATTACTTGCGCGCATTCAGGAAGGTTATGCAGCCACTTATGGATGAAGACCGCATTGGAAAGGCCAAACGCGACCGCTTATTCATGGAAGGAATCCCTAGAGATGCTCAGGCGCAAATTTGCTTGCGCCTTATGATCAAGTTCCCAGACCACTATCTGTATGACCCATACCCAGTTATGGATGTCTTTGCAGCTGCGCAGTTCCTATTACCTGCGCGCGCTTCTCCCGCGACAAGCACACCAGTTAGCACGCCCATGGTAGTGCCATTTGCGAACTTAGTTACAGCGACCGTGCCAGTGCAAGCTATGGTGACTAAGTACAAAGATTGATACTACATGAGCCGCGCGACCCAGGATACGACCACTAGCGCTAGTGTGGCAGCTGGACTCTTCTATCGCGCATCCTCAGAAGTTATACTTAACAAAAAGCCACCAGTTTAATTCCTGCGCCTCGCGCGTGCGTTTTTCCTGTGCCTTCGCGCAATTCACGCACACCTGAACCATTAACTGCACCAGCACACAAAGCCATACCAGACTGCATTGCTTTAGATCACGAACTCGAATGCACGCTCATGAAACGCACCGCAGGCACCTCTCCATCATCACCAGCATCAATCACATCGCCTATAGTCAGGGATGACTCTAAACATCTATTGCACAATAATGCGCCCATCATGGAAGTTATTACCCCATCGCTTGAAACATGCTTGCCTACCACTATTGCATTGCTTAAGGAAGAAATCTCGCCAATCGCACCATCACCATCACTGCTATCGCCGCTCACATCATCAGAGGTCAGGGATGACCCTAAACATCTATTGCACCTTAGCGCGCCTATAGAGGAGCCTTCTACTGCATCAGAGGCTCAAGTCACACCTCACATCAACCAGAGTTTGCCTCTGGAAATTCCATCTGTCACTAACGTGCACGTGCACGTTGCGCTTTTTGCTTCTAGCGACTATCGCTTGCCAGTGAAGCATCCGTGCATCGCGCTGCCCAACCACTAAGCAGAGCATGTCTCAGGCGACCCTGGGGTGGCTCAGGTGCACCACATCGCACCTAAGGACGCGCAATGCGTGCGCCTAGAGGTATTGTATATTTACCCTTGTCTCATTTCACGCTTTTTGTCTTTTTCATGTTTAAAGCTCTTAAGGAGCTATATGACAATTCCAAACACTTTAATTTCATCTTCGCACCACCCTTGGTTCATGCGCCATGATTGCGCGCATCATGTGATAATTCCCACGCCTCGCGCATTTATCATCTTAGCAGAGTTTCCATACTATTGCATTTCTATCGTTTGTTAAGACCGTGCACAAAGGGTAGGACTGATTCCGAGGGGCTTGGCTTCAGCTCGTGCGCTGCGCCCCTTACCCGAGTATGTGCCCTTAATTTCAGAATGATATCCGAAGAAAGTCCAAGGACATCCGAAGCGTGGGAAAGCTCGGAAGGACTTTCCGGACAAGTGCAAGTAACTTCCGGACAAGTGCAGGAAAGTTCCGGAAATTATGATGAGGTTTCGTCCTGATACGGATATGTGTAATGGCTACTTAGGACAAGTCCTAAGTAGAAGCAAACAGAGGAAAGGCTGCAAGGACAAAGTCCGAAGCAGAATAGGTCCGGAGGACCACGGGAAAGTTTTGGACGAATGTCCGGAAACTTTGGAGGATCGGATAAGTGGATGAGCGGAGGATTGGATAAGCGGAGCTCTGGCCTAGGGAATTTCTCCCTAGGCCTGAGATGGATATTGACTTAAGTCGGAAGACTAGAACTGATATGAGGACTTAGAATGAGATCTAGTGCGAGGACTAATATGATATTCAGACTGAGGAATTACAGGACATATACAAGAGTTTATATACTAAGGAAATAATGGAAAGATCAGTAAGCAAGTGTCCAAGGCTATGTATGAAGCAATAGCAAAGTTATCAAGCGCGAGTCGGAAATGAAGCATAGGTTAACAGATCAGTAAGCATACCGGTAGTAAGTATAACCGAGATACCGAGGACAAGGAATACCGAATAGAGGAATAGGCTGTGTTAACGTTATATGCACAGGAATGAATTAAGAAGCTTATCGGATATCGGATTGGAAGTGGATCTATACATCGGATTGGATTGGATGTCCGGATGAGACGTGTGGATATATGGGATATGACATTAGGGTGATGGGACAAAGGATGAATGATGCAGGCTAGCTGAGGTATGGAGGTAAAGGGATCTGGATGTGGATGTGTGGATGTGGATGTGCAGAGGTGCAGGGATCCGGATGGATAGAGGACTGGAGACATGGATAGGGTGTCCGAAGGTCCGGATGAGGCGTGGGAACATTGTCGGATGTAGGTCCGGAATACAGGACATGACATCATTTCTCCCCTTTTAAATCACATTTCTGTCATTCAACATGAAATATATTCCAATCAGCCATCCAGGTGCGACTTAGGCATGCGCCTGACACATACATATGCGCCTAACCTCCCCATCATCATCTTTAACTTCGCACTTCCCACATTTATTCACATTCTTCATGTTTTTGCTTACCATGTCAATTCCGTTCCTGCACACCCTGATGTGCACTATTCTCTTTCACCTATGCGCCTATTGCGCCTTGATAAACCACCCTTACAGCCCATTTGCGCAACATTTGCGCCTAATTCCACGCTATATACATCTCTCGCTAACACATTTGCAGAGAAATGGCTGTTCCTCGTGTGTTCAGCCAATATAATCAAATTCGCGCGAAATCGCCCCAAGGCACGCACATCGTGCACATCCTATCAGCTTGTAGAGCACTTTTACACCCCTTGCAGCGCCTCCCATTGGCGCACCTTCAACCTGCAGCGCATTGTGCAGGAATTCATTCTGCCGGTTACTAGCCCACCTTGGAGTCGCAACCAAAGAGGCTTGATGAAGAGGAACCAAGCACCCCAAGCGCGCCAGCCTTGCGCCTTCTATCCCTTGCCTACACCACCTACACCACACACTCCAAGCACTTCAGCTGCACATCAAAGAAAAACATATACCATTGCTGTTTCATAGGATACCGTTTGTTTCACCCTGGGTTTCGTCCAGTGCTCTTTCATTTTTATTTTCTCTCATTATAACACCGTCCAAAGGACTAATAACACACTGATATATATGCATATAGGAATCGCCTAGAAGAACATAAAAGAAAATCAACAAAACAACCTTGGATCGTGCCTGCCTAGCTCAATAGGATATTAATTTCTCTTTGCAGGCATGATGCAGCACCATGCTCTTTTTACCTTAGAACACGCACATATGCATGCAGTCTTCCCACGCTCACGCGCACACGCGCACTTCCCACGCCTTACTCATAGGAAGGTGTAGATGTCGACAGCTGCACAAAGAAGACAAGTCGGATAGGACATCCACAAAGTTTACCATTTTCCCTTCATATTTTCACATATAGTTTTACTCATGCTGTTCAAACCTTTAGCACCTAATATTTAGCGCACCTAGCAGGACTTTGTTTGGACATGGATTGGATTGCTCCTGGACCGCGCCACTTCACATCATACCCATGCATGCATATTTGACTCCAAGATCATTGGGCAACAACTCGTGGTGTCCCCACAGAATACAGCACATGCGACACTCACACGCATTCTCTTGCCTTGTGCGCGCGCACTTTCCCGCGCTTCACGCCATATGTGCGCATCTCGCCTGCGCTTCATGCACCACAGCCATATCACTCTTGCATCATCACAGCTGTCATCATAGCCTCACGCCCATGGCGCATTATTCACATCAGAGTCACCCTTGCAATTCACCATGTTATACTTCATTCCCGCACCTCTGCGCCTAATGCACATACATTCCCATGCACCACGCAATGCACAGGCAACTTCCCGCGCTTCACACATACCATGCGATCTATTCCTGCACTTGCACGTTCACCTCCCAACAACCCAAGCATCATACATGCATCGCACTTGCATACTATCACTCGAGAGCCTCACCACACGTGCGCTGAGTGGGGACACTCAGAATTTAAGTCCCTGGGAGATGTAGAGACTCATGCCTCTCATGGTGTGATATGGCAGTTTTCACTAGGGAGTACATGACACAAACTTGTAGCATCACTCTGCATGCTATACGCAGCTATTCCTATATGAGGCACAGCTTTCCCACACAATGCGCAACATGTGTGCACACTTCCCGCGCTTCACGACATATATGCGCACGTGCTTTCCCACGCTTGAGCACCCTGTAGCGCCAGCCATCCAGAAGCATCCATCCACTGTCCACCGAGTTCTCTAGTGCGTGTATTTCTATTTTCCATATTTACATATCATTCCACCTCTATTTTTATCATGGACCCTTACTTACATATATCTTTACATACCTCACTCGGTAGTGCTTCGGCTCCACATGACGGCGCTTAGGTGCCATACTTAAGTGCTAGCATTACATACTATTATGGACTTTCTGACTTACCAACTTTTGCCTTTCTACCTTTCTAACTTACCAACTGAAAGTCGCAGTAGCAATCTATTCTCTGACAACAATCAGTCTCACCTTGCACTCGTATCTCTTGTCTAGTATCTAATCACCACTTAAGCAAACTCACTCTTACTCTCTCTTGTTTCTGCATACACATGCACGCTTTCCTGCACTTCGCGCAATACGCACACGCATTCCGACGCCTTCTCGATTCGCATTGGCCGACCAGTAGTGCCTTCAGCGCCTACTACTAGATCTTAGCTGCACTCGCTTCCCCTTTAGGGTCGAACGCACTTGTTGTCTCAAGTATAGCAGACTAGGCAACACGCGACCTTACAACATTTATAGATACAGTCTGGAGCCTCGTTTGTTCCTCTCAGTATTGTTGTTTCTACATCGCGCAGAAGTCACATCCATGAACCTAACCTGATCATAGGCTTTAACCATGCATTTTTTTCAGGCTGCTGCTACAAACACCTTCTTGGCACTTTTGGTTGGACAAAATCTGATAGATTTGAGGTGATTAAAGTTGGATTTGTCATCTGCAGCCTCTGGGTGAACCTTGACTGCAATTCACATTGTGTCGTTGATGTATTTCTGGCAGCACTCAAACAGTATCAATGTTCCCATGATCATCCACATCATTACCTTATCAATGTGATTGTCTCAGTGTCTGTGGTTTTGTCAAGGCCATTTAAAATGGGACACATCTAGCATCTACCAATCTTAACCTCTGCTGCCAGGCTCTCTTCCAGCATCATACTCATCAAAAGGATCATACATTCACTCTATTCAGCTATGTGGTGTCGAGGGCAACTATGTTTTTAAAAAAAAAATCTATTTGAGGTGAGATATCCTACTTTACATATGCCTCAATGGTGATTGACCTGCATTGGTCCTCCATTTCCTCCTACCATTTAGGCATTGATAAAACAATTATCCTCTAAGTGAATGGTAAAGGGTTGGAATTTGACAGCCCAGGAGTGCACCTTTTTTGAAATGTACAGATTCAAAGTATAATAGGTAAGCATCTGATTCTTTTCCTTAGGAGGGGTGTGTCAAACATTGGTATTTGGTAGTAGATGGAAAAATTTGATGTTTGTTTTGAGACTATCAAACAATGGTCTTCAGTTAACTTATAGGGTCGCTTGGTCTAATGTAGGTGTTTGAACCGAAAGTTTGAATCACATTGTCTATTAGGAGTAAGTGAAGCCATTGAATTTGTCATTGAAAGTGATGACCAGGTTTGTTACAGTGACTTCAGTGACCAAGTAGTACAGGTGACTTCAGTGACAGAGTATTACGGATGGCTTCAGTGACAGATGTACTACATATGGGTAACCAGAGTGATTCTAGCAACCATGAAGATTGCCCCTATCATCAGATCAGCACAAGGTAAGATACCAGTTCCCATGCATGGACTTATTCATCATTAATCATTATTTACACAAGAAATATGAAACCAAGCTCACCTTATTAGTGCAACTTTGTTTTGTTTGTTGGTGCTGTTCTAACTGTTTGCTTGCAACAGGTTGCCATTGCTGAACTTTGGGCAAGTCGATTTATTTTCTCTGAATCACATCTATTTACAGTGTACATACACAATTTATATACAGCTGAAAAGGGTATGCAACAATATAAATTGTAACATAAGGTGTGATATTGAGGGCAAAGGTTAATAGAAGTATGTTACAGTCTCATAGCACTTGAAGTGGTGCTGTATTACCTAAATACCTACAATAGGTCACCTGTAAATTTCTATGATCACCAGAACCATAATCTCTCTAGGACTGTATTGTATATCATTTTGCTACTTAATATGATTATAGTCTTTATCAGTCAAATTTGTCTTCCAACAATGAGCCTAATCACTCATTTAACTACACCTTACAAGGGTAGCCACATTCATATGGTGGTGTATCACTTTAATGATGACAAGTTCACTGTTAGGAGTGATGCAAGCATGACATAAACTATAAATGCAAGAGGATCCTACTGGAATTATATTGATGGCTCTATTGGTGACCTGTAACTAGATAGTTTTTATTTGTTCATCTGGAAAAGATGCACTCAAATTCATCAGCCAGCTGCAAGGTCCACCTTGGATTTCCAGTGCTAAATAGTCCAATACCCATGCCTCATTTCATCTCATTGATAAATTACCCTAATTGTCCATCAGGACTATGCATGATACCAACATTCAGTCAGACCATGAGTCTTAAGGAGCTGGGTGCATTAAGAAACTCTTTCTCAATTCCTATGAGTTGACTCAATATGGTTATTGCAAAGGATTCTAGTTCTTGATCTGCTCGGCAGCATTTACAGATCATGCATCCTATAGGATCCATGATGTCATCAAAGACAAAAGGTTCTCTAATACGCAGGTTGGACCACCAGAATAATCAGGTCATGGCTGTCAGTCAATTAAAGAACTAACCTCATTTCTGCCAGAGTCAGACCTACATCTCTATGCAAGAAGACCAACTACTCTTGTCTATTTCCAGGAGCTGCATGTACAACCTACAATAGCTGATAATCCACTAAGACAATCCATCACTCTTCTAACTTCTGAAGAGTGGGCACATATGACTGCTTTAGCCAGCAGAAGTGACTTTTGTCTAGTGGTAGATTGAACAGATCCCCTTTGCCTGGTAATAAAACATAATAGTTGCAATTACTGCCCTCACACTTTAGAATCCAGCCTTTGAAGGATTGTGAGACATTGATGTGAGAAAGGATTGTATTCTATTTGAGTCCGAGGCACGAGGACATAGATAGAATTAGGTCTATGTGGCGAAACGGTTCTTTTGGTTTTCCCACCTTCTTGCTTCCTACTACAATGTTAGTACTCGCAACCACTCCGCTCCTAGACTACGCTCTCCGTTCGTCGCATTCTTTCCGTATACCAGAATTTCGATTATTACATCTAAAATGCCGAGGATACGAAACGACCCAAATCTCAACATTTGCCCGGACTACGCATCGGAGGTTTTTGCGAACATCCGCGCTCAGCTAGTCAATGAGAACACGACCGAAGCACAAGCAATGCAATTGCTTCGGAACATCTGGGAAGTGAACAACGACGCAATCAAAGTGCTTTGGCAACAGCAAGTAGATGAGGATAGGGAACGTCAGCAACAGCATCAAAGGATAGACGAAGACGAGCGGGAGCGGCTTGAACAAGTGAGGATTGAGGAAGAGGAAGCGGCGCGCAAAGAAGAGAGGAAAAAGAACAAATACAAATTCATTCCCATTCTCGAGACTGGAATACCAGACGAACCGGCCATCACACCATGTTCTTACGCTCTAAAGAAACTGGACAAAGGCGAGTACGTGGAATTATGGTATTTCACTAACGACGGCTTGGACGAAGCTAGTATAAAGAAGACGATTGACGACGACGCCATGATTCTTTCGACTCTGGCTGATGGCTCCACAGCCTGGGTCTCTTCAGCGTCTACGCGAAGCGCACGTTCGGTGATTAACGACGAAAATTTACCTTTTGAAGAGTTCTGTCAAGCCTGTCCGCGCTTTCTGACGGCAATAGAGGAGGCAGATTGGCCGCAAGACAGAGTCCGGATGATGGCTCGGTTCTGGATGAACATTCAAGTTCACAAGTTTCGCTCACTCAGAGACCCCATAGCTCAGAAGTCGCTCCTGGTCTACCAGGCAGAGCAACGGAAACGGTGGCATATCACAGCAAAGTCCTCTGTCGGACCATATGATCTTTCAGACGTCAATGAGAAGGTTCTCAAAGACACGAGGGACAGAGTATATTGGGATGAGCGCAACAAGAGAGACAACGAACGTGATTACAAGGTCAGGATTCGCTTGGAATGACAAGTAACGATCAAGCTAACCATCTCGTTTTTCCTGTTTTATTTCATTTAAAATCAAAACAAATATGTCAAACCTGCTACACGCTACACGCCGCACGTTGCACGTCATACATAACTTGCTACACGATGCGCATCGCACATCGCACATTATATGCTGCATGCCACACTATATGCTACATGCTACATGCTACATGCCTCATGCTACGCATCACATCGCCCGCTGCAGACTGACCAACACGTCAGTTCCTCTTCGAGACATCGTGACTGGAAAGAGCCAACCAAGCGTGCTCATTCACCAGAGCACGCGAGCAAGGCCAAGAAACCACGTCAGGATTTTTGTGCGGGCGCAAGCGGAGGAGTCCTCTCCGCTTGCGCCGTTTGCCTCGGACGAAATCCTCATAGGATTATCGAGTGCAAAGCGTCCAGAACCTGGGACGATGCATTCGAAACTCTTTGTGCACGCATTGGCAAGATCCTCACGATGCGAGACGGCAAGGCCATCTGCAGCGATTGGCAACGCGTCAACGGATGCTCAGAAGTCACACACGACCGACGACATTTCTGTTCTGGATGTGGTGCCTCCACTCATGGAGCTCAGACGTGCCCTCGAGCGCAGAGAGCATAAAGCGCTTACCCCGTATGATGCGGAGGTGTGGACTTCGAGGCTGGCATCAGTCGGTCTTTTGGGCAGGTACTCTCACATTCCGGATGGGTTACGTCAAGGCTTTCGTCTCGATATTCCTAGTATTAGAGTCATGCAGATTCCGCCGAACAAGCAATCCATTGTTACATATCAACGAGAATTCCTCACCATTGTGCAAACTGAGCTTAAAAAAGGAAGATATATCGGACCGATGCGAGCAAAAGAAGTCGAAGAACTCATCGGCCCCTTTCAATCGTCTCCCTTCTCCATCATCCCTAAGCCAGGTCGCCCAGGACGCTACCGTATCATTCAGGACTATTCATTTCCTCACATCGTATCCCCGAAGTTTCCCAACATATCCATCAATTCATACATCAATCCGGACAATTTTCCCAGTACCTGGGGAACTTTCCACGTCACAGCGCTTAAAATCAGTCGTCTGCCGCTCGGCTCACAGATCGCCATCAGAGATGTATCAGAAGCTTACCGCACTGTTCCCATACATTCCTCACAATGGCCAGGTTCGGTTGCGCGCATCTCAGATGATCTTTTCTGCATTGACACATGCATGTGTTTTGGTTTGCGACCTTCAGCCGGAGCATACGGTTCTCTTGCCGACGCCGGACTCGATCTATTTCATTCACGCGGAATTGGTCCCGTATCGAGATGGGTCGATGACCATTTATTCATACGCATTCTCAAACAACACATTGCAGCTTACAACGAGAAACGGAGAGCTTGGCACCGGGACATCATTAGCAGAGGAGAACATCGTGATGGCGGTAGAGTATGGTTTGGCGGCTTCGTTTTCGAAGACGGTACTTTGGAAGAGTTTGAAGAAGATTGTCGTTTTCCGATCGTGGACCTTTCGGAGACGTCATCGAGATCAAGCGATGACGCAAGGTTCTCTTTCAACCTATCGGACGTTGATGAATTTTCAGAAGATCTCAACATACCTTGGGAGCTACCCAAAGACAAGCCCTTTGCCTATGTCAACCCATACATTGGGTTCATGTGGAATCTCACACAGGATAAGGTCTATCTCGACGAGGAGAAGAAGGCGAAATACTTGGACGCAATCAGAGGCTGGGAGACGCGCGACTCACACGTGCTTAACGACGTACAACAGCTATACGGTAAGCTGCTGCATACCACGCTTGTCGTACCACGAGGGCGCGCTTACCTCACGTCGCTCGAAGCAATGCTGTGTCTCGCTTTCATTAAGCCTTTTATCCCACGGAGACCCATCAAAAGACTGGATGCGGACTTACTTTGGTGGAAACATTTGTTGCAGAGTTCTTTCGTTGGTCGGCCAATACCCAAACCCCTCACGCTTTTTAACCCAGAAGCTTACTCGGATGCCAGCTCTGGATTCGGAATCGCCATCACCATCGGAGTCAGATGGAGAGCCTGGCATTTGCGGAAAGGATGGCAGACCCTCGACGGAAAAAGGGACATTGGATGGGCGGAAGCGGTCGGGTTTGAGCTACTCATTCTCTACCTTATCAGCATGGGAGGACCGCAACGCAACTTCAAAGTATTCGGCGACAATCAAGGGGTTATTGAAGGATGGAGAAACGGTCGCAGCAGAAACACGGCAGTCAACGAAGTATTTCGTAGAATCTTCTCTGTTATCAACGATTCCGCAGCATCGTATTCATTCCATCCTACCTACGTCACCAGCAAAGCAAATCCCACGGATGATCCTTCCAGAGGGGTCTACGGTAGCGCAGAACATCTACTGCCGAATCTCCACATCCCCAGTGCACTCGAACCCTTTATCATCGACCCGTTCATTGCATCCACAGACCCGAGAGAGTACAGTACGGACAGAATTCCATCAGATACCCTCGAGGATCTTACTCTCGACGGTGCCGTCGGCACCGTCGAGAAAGCCGCAGGAACCATTAATGACGCCCTCTATCACATCCACCTGAGCCAACAACGCATCGGCGAACATCTCACGTTTTAATGCATCACTTCCTCTCGACACTATAGCAAAACCCTCACCATATAGAACAGGTCTGACGCCAGCTCCCTCTCAACTCCGACCGCACTGTCTAGCGAGGGATAGATTGAGACTTTGGTTCCCATTGGAGACCAGAGTACCCACAGGGACGGACGGACATCATTTGGCCATCTCAGAAGAGGACTTGCAGAGGGTCCTTACCGTGATGAACATGTCCTGGGCGCCAGGAACCAGGGAGTGTTACGGGGCAGGTCTTCTGGTCTTTCATGTGTTCTGCGACGAACGAAACATACCAGAAGACCAACGATGCCCAGTAGACACTCGCATCATGTTGAACTTTGTAGCGAGTTGTGCGGGAACTTACTCGGGAAAAACCTTAGCGAACTACGTATATGCGGTGAAAGCCTGGCACACACTTCATGGACAATCTTGGGAGGTCCAACAAGATGAACTCAAGGCGGCATTGGATGGAGCTTCGGAGCTAGCTCCAGACGCAGCGAAACGCTCGAAGCGGGATCCATTTACAGTCAAATTCATTCTTGATATTCGCTCTCATCTAGATGTATCAGCTCCCCTCGATGCCGCAGTGCTCGCGTGTTTAACAAGCGCCTTTTATGCCTTATGTCGGGTAGGAGAACTCACTGTCAAATCCATGAAGACTTTTGAACCGTCGAAACACGTCAAGCGGTCAAATGTACAAATGGATGTCGAAGATAGGCACGGGTTGAGGGTAACCAAAATTTTCCTACCACGAACCAAAGCTGCGGTCGCAGGGGAGGGTGTATTCTGGGCACAGCAGAAAGACGCTTCAGACCCTAAAGCCGCTATGCTCAATCACTTCACAATTAACGATCCGCCGCGAGATAGTCATTTGTTCGCCTGGAAGCACAAGAAGGGCATGAGGCCTTTGACGAGATCAGAATTCTGGAAACGGATTAGTGGGATAGTCAAGAGAGCGGATCTAGGAAATCTCAAAGGCCATGGGCTTCGTATCGGAGGTACCTTGGAATATCTGCTGAGAGGAGTTCCCTTCGACGTAGTCAAATCGATGGGTAGATGGTCGAGCGAAGCATTCACCATATACCTACGCAAGCATGCGTTAATCCTGGCCCCGTATCTTCAGGACTCACAAGCGCTGGAGCCGTTCACTCGCTATACAATGCCAATGATACATTAACAAGGTGAGTTTACACAATTCACTCTTCTCCTTTCGAATCGGGAGTCCAGGCTGCGCCTGATGCGTCGCAGTGCTCCTTGTGTCTGGGAATCACGGCTCATCTGGACTTCCTTCACAGGTTCGAAACGGTGTTTCGGGTCGTAAAACCCTGCGGGTTTTAAGCCCAAATAGCTTCTCAAGTCTCTTGGACACTAGTCGTACAAATCAGATATCATTAGCCGGCTAATATAACTGTTTTTCTTCGCATTAACACAAAGACCAGCAGCTACACATAGAGTATAGTTTGAGGTCTGGGAGAATTGACCATCCCAAAGGAAATTTGGTCCATGTTGATAATTATATTAAATTTTAAGGAGGCACCTTTCACTGTTCCCTTGAGCAGTAGGAGTATTGCACTTGATTGAAAGAAACTGTGGTGGTCTGTAGTGATGTTGGTCACACATTCAGGCAGGAATAGAAAGGTATAATCCTTTCTGCCTCAATTTCCGGGTAGGCGCTTCCTCAATGATATCTAGGAAGAATTGCTCGTAAAGTTTTGCAGCACGTTGATCAGCTGTGAGATCCCCTTTCTTATCATCCTCTTTCTCATGAAGGTCTTGTTCCTTACCCCCATTCAAGATATGTAGTTCTACATCCCTACCTACCAAGTAAACTGGAGGTTTGAAGCGAACACCAACAATCTCAGTGCTGAGGTGCAAGCACTATCGATTTGGCTCTCTTACATCATCAATATTGCAAGTTTTATGCTTATGATTAGTTGTTCATTCTGGGTTGGAGTGATATCAGCTGGATGAAGCTATGATCCAAGAGAATGAGGCTTTGATGTCGTTCATGGAGTGCACCTGATAAATGCGAGTCATAGACTCTGAGTCAAATGTGTGCTAGAGAGGCAGTCAAAGAAATTTCCAGTTCAAGTGGGAATTAAGGACAATATCACAAATGAAATAGGTGCTGCTATCATATAGAATGGACAGAGCTGGTGAGTCTTCATCCACATCATTGGGATCTTCGAGGACCTATTAGCAGGCAGTCTCAATAAAACTCTCTCATCCAAAGCCCTCAGCAGAATGAGTAAAGCAGGCATTAAGTATATAAATGCAGACAGCCCCAAGTGTCAATGTAGCATTCAGAACACGTGACCTGGCATTTACTTTGGACAAATCTACAAGGACCAAATGAATGGCAGCAAGATAATAATATATGAAGTACCTGGGACATATTGGCTCAAGGATAAAACAGGATGTCATGAGAATGTGTACTTACTACCACTTTCTTTTGTTGATGACAATGATCTAGCACTGAACGAGGTCCTCTAGAAGAGTAGGCAGCCAGTTCAAGGTCTTGTCTAGTAAGATCCAAATCTC